GAGCCTGGGGGTGCTGTGCCTGGGGGTGCTGAGCCTGGGGGTGCTGTGCCTGGGGGTGCTTCGTCTCGCCGAGAGCCACTCTCCCCGCAGGAGCTGCGTGAGTGGTTTGCCAGGCGCTGGAGGTGTGCTGCTGGTGCTGGTGGTTCTTCGGCTGCAGAGGGTACTGCTGCCTCGCGTCCCGCCGGTGCTCGTACTGTGGGTGCTGGAGCTGCTGGGTCTGAGAGTTCTCCTGGAGCTGGTGCCACTGAGGGTGTTGGCGCTGAGCCTGCCGTTGGCGGTCCGACTGACAGTGCTCCTGGTGCTGCTGCTGGAGGTTCTGGAGCTTCTGGTGGTGCTGCTGGAGTGGGTACTCCTGCCGGGGCTGCTGGTACTGTTCCTGCTGTTTCTGGTGTCGCCGCGCGGCCCCGACCTTACTTCGTTCCGCTCCTGCAGCAGGTTCTTGGTCTTCCGCCTCCTCCTCCTCCTCCCTTAGAGGGTCCGCAGCCTGTCCGGTCACAGCCACAGCTACAGCCTGCCTCCCCTTTGCCTGCTCCGTCTCCCTACACTGGTCCGACTGGAGGTCTTGTTGAGCGTCGTGAGCCTGCGTCTCGTCCTGTGTCGCCTGTTCGTACTGAGCGCGCTAGTGGTCGCGGGTCACGTCAGCGTCCTCCTCCTGTCCCTGGCACGCACCGGATGTCACTGCGTCCGTCCACTGCTCCTCTGCGTGCCCCTTTGCCTTCTCCTCCTGCTTCCTCTCTTCCTGCTCTTGCCGACCCGGAGTCGGACTCCCTTCGTGCTGCCAGTCCTACTGTCACGCGTCTCCTTGCTACAGCTGTCACTGACCCTTCCTTCGAGTCGTCTGCTGCGTCTGCCCTTGTCACTGAGCTTGTCGACTTTGCTGCGCGCTGTCGTCTAGACTACGCTGCCCGTCTTGTCACTGAGTCTGAGTCCGCCTGTCCTCCGTCCGTCGGGGGTGAGTGTGCCCTTGGCACGGACGTCCTTGAGGACAGGCAGGAGGAGTTCCAGTGTCTGGCCGCCGCTTCACCTCGTCTCGCGTCTGTACTGCTAGCCCCTGAGGGAGACCCGGATGCACCAGACATCCCGACTCCGCGCTCTTACGCGGAGGCGATAGAGGGTCCCTACTCCTCTCAGTGGCAGGCAGCTATGGATGCAGAGATGGCTTCCTGGAAGTCCACAGGCACCTACGTTGACGCTGTTCCCCCCCCTGGGGCGAACATCGTCAGTGGCATGTGGATTTTCAGGGTGAAGCGGCCGCCGGGTTCTCCGCCTGTCTTCAAGGCGCGTTACGTGGCTCGTGGCTTCAGTCAGCGGCAGGGGGTTGACTACTTTCAGACCTTCTCCCCCACCCCGAAGATGACCACTCTTCGGGTCCTGCTGCACGTTGCTGCTCACCGTGACTACGAGCTGCACTCTCTCGACTTCAGCACAGCTTTCTTGCAGGGCAGCCTGCACGAGGAGATCTGGCTGCGTCGCCCACCTGGCTTCACTGGGTCTTTCCCTCCTGGTACCCAGTGGAGTCTCCGGCGTCCAGTCTACGGTCTCCGCCAGGCGCCACGTGAGTGGCACGACACACTGAGGACTACGCTCGCGGCACTTGGGTTTGCTCCTTCTACTGCCGACCCGTCGCTGTTTCTGCGCACCGACACCTCTGTGCCGCCGTTCTACATCCTCGTGTACGTCGACGACTTGGTCTTTGCCACAGCTGACACTGCTGGACTCGCCTACGTGAAGTCCGAGCTGCAGAAGAGACACACGTGCACTGACCTGGGTGAACTGCGCAGCTATCTTGGCTTGCAGATCACCCGGGACAGAGCACGCCGCACCATTACCCTGACTCAGTCACACATGGTGCAGCAGGTCCTTCAGCGCTTCGGCTTCACGTACTCCTCGCCTCAGGCCACTCCTCTGCCTACTCGCCACTCGCTCTCAGCTCTGCCTTCGGATGAGTCCGTAGAGTCGAGTGGCCCGTATGCAGAGCTTGTTGGCTCCCTCATGTACCTGATGACCTGCACACGACCTGACCTTGCATACCCTCTTAGCATTCTCGCACGCTATGTTGCTCCTGGGAGACACCGACCAGAGCACATGGCTGCAGCGAAGAGGGTGTTGCGCTACTTGTGCAGTACGTCGGGCATGGGGCTAGTGCTTGGAGGGCGCAGTCCAGTGGTCCTCACTGGGCACGCGGACGCTTCTTGGGCTGATGACCAGGCTACGCAGCGGTCGTCACAGGGTTACACCTTCAGCCTTGGTTCCGGCTCTGTCTCGTGGCGGGCTACCCGCTCGTCTTCTGTTCTCGGCTCCAGTTGTGAGGCTGAGATCTACGCCGGGGCTATGGCTGCACAGGAGTTACGCTGGCTCACCTACCTGTTGACCGACCTTGGAGAGCAGCCTCGTTCTCCTCCAGTCCTGTACGTAGACAACAAGGCCATGCTGGCCTTGTGTCGAGAGCAGAGACTGGAGCACAGAACGAAGCACATTGCTCTCCGCTACTTTCTTGCTCGTGAGCTACAGCAGCGTGGCCAGTTGCGACTTGCGTACGTGGCCTCTGAGGCCAACACTGCTGATGTCTTCACCAAGGCACTTGCGCCTTGTGATCATCAGCGTTGTTGCACGCAGTTGGGTCTTGTGCCTGTCTTGCCTCACTTGCTCTCCTCTTGACCTTGCTTGTACCTTCGCCTATATATACTCTTGCTCTTGCTTACTTGACTCTTGTATATCTCTATATATGATCTTGCATGTGAACTGGCCATGTGGCCTTGAACTTGTGCTCGGAATGTGTGGTGACTTTGTGATCCACCCTGAGCTTTGCTTTGCTTTGCTTGACTGGTCTTGTGACCCCTTGTTCTCCCCCACTTTGCCTATGGGGGTGTGTCAGAACTATATAGCTTATACTATTGTGTAGGCTATAGTGGGGTATCCCATAGGGGGTACAACCCAATTGGGGTTTCCTATTTGTACTCACTTCTTTCATAGTCATTTCATTCTCGTTCTCTCTTTCACAGGGAGATCCCACACTGACTCCATCTTCAAACTTGAACCCACATGAACCATTTTCTGGAACTCGCGGAAGTAGGAGCTGATCCCTCTTTCGTCAGCAGAAGCAGAATTCATCGCACCAAGTGCAGCAGTTCGCGAAGGGCTCTACCACACGGAGCGCTTAAGGGAAACGAAAACGGCGATGGACGGGTCATTCAAGTTATTGTGTGACAATCAGAGCGCGATCAAAATCGCGAACAAACCTGGCTTCGTCAACCGTACGAAACACATCGCTCTGCGTTACTTCTTCGTCAAGGACGAAATTGACAAATGGAAGGTTCAACTAATCTATTGTCCAACTGGCGAAATGGAAGCAGCTTTTCTGACGAAGAAGCTGCCACGTCATACGTTCCAGTACTGCGCGGACCTGTGTGGAATTGTCCGAAAGAGCCACGTGGCGCACCTCCAGGAATGAAGCACCCATCACTATCGAATAAGCACTAGTAGCAGTATCGGATCAGCCTGTACAAGAGCAAGAAGGTCAAAAGTCGCAAAGGTCAACTGTCGCGATTGTTGAACACCTGAACCGAATGACTCACCAACGAGGAATGGCAAGCAACAGGCGTAAATGTCCAAATCTCTCTTAGCAGACCTATCCTATTCAAGATCCTTCACTCTAACAACTTCCTCATTCGGAGCAGACGGCTTCTCGGAAATCCCGTCCACCCCTCTTAAACTTGTTTTGGTTCGCCACAGAGCACTCCCCAGCAAATCTCACCACATACGCCAGTCGGCCGTCGGCTAGATTAGCCTTATTCTTTTTCTTATTCCTATTCTTTTGTTTTCAAATCCAATCAACTACACTACAGCTAGTTGAGATGTGTGAAATCAAGTTCAGACACGTCCCCTCTTCACGAATCCCACAATCGACACTGTACCGCACTCAAATCCTGCTTATTGCATTTACAGCTTTCATAACCCTTTTACAGCCCGCCAGAAAACCAACCTGCGCTGGTTCGCATCCCAAGTTTGATGTCAGGGGGGGCCGCATCCTCTCGAAATCAATGGCCCTGTTCGACAGACAGGCAAGCCCTTCCGCGGAATCAGCACGGCTGTTTCCACTTGGGGTTTTTTCCCACGGTCAGCCCGCAAATTGGTGTCACTGGGCCTTGCAACCTGAAGGGTTAAGGGTTAGCCTGTCGAACGTGACTTTAACCCTTCAACTTCATCCCCCCCGAAAGCTCCTAGCTCCTTCTCTCCCGCGCAGACTTGCGCCTAGCTCTAGCCCAGCCCTCCAATCCCCAGAAGGGAGGTTGGCCAAGGGCTAGGCTAGGGTTCCATACGGTAGAGAATACCCACCCCATACCCTACGAAAGTTTTCCCACCAGTGCCCATGCTCTCGCCTCTCCCATCTCTGCCTTGAAAAAGTCCCTTCCTCACACAACCAAACCAGCCACCAGCCACGCACGACTCTCACTTCTCCACTTCTCCAATCTTTTTTATTCCCTGAAGTTACCCAGGTTCCCATGCCATCCCTATGAAAAAAAATAGACCCTGCCCACGATGAAGATGGTGGAAGGAGGGTTAGCAACTTCGCCATGACGATCCCCTCCTTCCAACATCGGAAGGCGCTGCTTCCGATTTCGTAAGGGGGGGGTAGCCTAGGGGAGGTTACTTCGAAAACTCCTCTAGCTCTAGCCTAACCCTAGCTCTCCAAGGAGATGGCTGCCTATCGAACCGGGCCAATAACCTTTTCCGCTCTGCGCAAGGGCGCAACTCCCTCACAGCTCATTCGAAACTCACTGGCGATTGTTAGATGGAGGGAAGTTGTAGCTGTTCACGAATCGCACATGCGCTCAGTGATCAAGGAGCACTGGTCGGCTATTCGCGAATCGCCGTGGTTATCTTAGCCGCGACCGTTGTAGCGCGTCACCATTAGCGGGGACGGCGGAATCGCGCACCTGCGCCGCATCATCGAGCGCATCGTAGAGCGGCGGGGGACCGGCGGCAGTGGCGGCGGAACGATGATGCGGAAGGTGGTGCGGCGCGCGGAGTGGGAGGCGCGCATGGACGCGGCGGCGGTGCGCGCGGAGGACATGAACAAACTTGTAATGAATTACCTCGTAACGGAGGGCTACGTGGACGCGGCGCGCAAGTTCGAGCTTGAGTCCGGGACCGACCGTGAGTTGCGGGATGCTGATGCCGCGACCATGCGTGGCTATGTTCACAGCTCAACCAGCGCAGCCCACCCAGCTCAGCCCAACTGTGCCCCTCGGCAGTACACCTTTCCGAATTTCGCAGAGTACATATCACACCCTTTTACCTCCCGTTTCTCTCCTCGCCCACTTTCCCCCCTTTTTCTCTTTCTCCCGGTCGGCCCTGGCGGTGCAATTCATGGGGACGCATCAACGGGTGAGATCGTGCTCGCGTCAACCTTCCTTTCCTCCATCCGCCCTTCCTCTATTTCGTGGCAGCGGGCGCGGATCTGGGGGCGGTGGCGGAGCGCATGGCGGTGAAGCAGGCGGTGCAGCGGGGGGACGTGGAGGACGCCATTGACCGGGTCAACGACCTCAACCCCGAGGTGAGGCAGGCAGGGGCGTTGACCGGGTCAACGGCCTCAATCCCGAGGTGAGCAGCTGGCGTGCATGTGGATCCACGTCCAGGCGCTGACTGGTGGCTGGCTGGCTGACTGCAATCACCATCAGCTGCTTCTCTCGCCTACCCACCTTGTGTGCCCTGGCCTGCCAAGCTTACTGCCATGGACTGCTGGTGCTTTCTGTCGTTCATTCACGGCGTCTGCTCCGTGAATCTGTTCCTATTCCAACGTTCCACTGTCGCTGGAGTCTCCTGCCCTCCAGCCCATGCATAACATTCCGGGGTTGCACTTCGCGATTCCTCTCTTCCGTTCAGCCATTCCCCCCTGCCCGCGTATTCCACCCCCGCCCATATCCAGGAGACAGGGGCAGGGGAGTTCTTCAGCCTGCAGCAGCAGCGCCTCATCGACCTCATCCACTGCAATACCCGGCACTGCCGCTCACCCCTTTTACCTCCTCGACACGACACGAGTGCAGGGATTTCCTCTCCTGTCCAACTATTCCTCTCTGCCCTCCTTCCCCCCTCAGATACGGGCGCAAGGGTATTTTTCCGAGCAGCAGCGCCTCATCGAGCTCATCCCCCCCCACTGTCCCCTTCTCCTCCCACCCAACTCCCTCTCCCCCTCCACCTCCTCCTCCTCCCCACCCCCCTCAGATTCTGGACACGGGAGCAGGGGTGTTTTTCCGTCTGCAGCAGCAGCGCCTCATCGAGCTCATCCCCCCCCACTCTCCCCTTCTCCTCCCACCCCACTCCCTCCCCCCCTCCGCCTCCCCCCCGTTCCCCCTCAGATCCTGGACACGGGAGCGGGGGTGTTCTTCCGTCTGCAGCAGCAGCGCCTCATCGAGCTCATCCGCGCCGGCCGGGTGGACGAGGCGCTTGACTTCGCCCAGGAGGAGCTGTCTCCCCGCGGCGAGGAGAACGTGAGTGCGGGTGGGAGGGGGGAAGGGGGGGTTGTGGGGGGGAAGGCGGGGAGGGAGTGTAAAGACGGAGGGAGGTGTTGCCGGGTGGACGAGGCGCTGGACTTCGCCCAGGAGGAACTGGCGCCCCGCGGCGAGGAGAATGTGTGTTGGCTGGCGGGGAAATGGGTGTGGGGGGGGTGGAGAGGTGGGTGTTTTGGGGTTGGTGGGAAGGGCGGGGAAGGAGTGCAAGAGGAAACAGGAGCGGATGAGGCGCTAGCTTTCGCTCAGGAGGAGCTGAGTCCCTGGGCCGCGGAGAATGTGGGTGGAGGGTTGGGGGGTTGGGGGGTTGGGGGGGAAGGGCAGGCAAGCGCAAGGGTGGAGCGAAAGCAGCAGTGGAGGGGGGTGGTGCTTGGGGGGGCGCTTGGTGGAGGCGCTCGATTTTTGTCAGGGGGAGATGGGTTCGTGGGCGAGGAGATGGTGAGTTGGTTGGGGAGTTTGGGGAGCTGGGGGAGTGGGGTTTTGAAGGAGTGCAAAAGGAGAGAGAAGTGTCGTCAAGGCACTTGACTTGGATCAGGAGGGTCCCTGGGCCGAGGAGATTGTGAGTGAGGGGGAGAGAGAGGAGGGGGGAGAGGGGGAACGTGCAAGGAGAATGTGAGGAGATGGGGTAGGGGAGGAGCGCAGGCTGAGGAGACTGGGAGTGCGGATGCGTCGGGGGAAGAGGAGCATGAGTGGGGACGCGTTTGGGGGAAATGTGGGTTTCTTGTGGGGCTGGGATGTGCCATGCACCGAGGCTGGGAGGCTGGGATGTGCCATGCACCGAGGCTGGGAGGCTGGGATGTGCCATGCACCGAGGTGGCCTGTGGCTGAGGTGGAGAGGGAAGCGTGGCTGAGCGCATTCATGGAAGCATCAGTGTGTGTGTTGAGAATAGGGGTGAGGCCGTGGGTGTGGTGGGAGAGAAGGAGGGGGGGAAGGTGGGAAGGCGCCTGCAGGTGAGTCGCCTCCCCCCATCCTCCCTCCGCCGCCTCTTGCTCCCCCATATCCCTTGCCATCCTTCCCCACTCGCGCTTCGCTCCCTCTCGCACTCACCCATCTGCTGCACGCGCCTCCCGTCCCACCGTTCCCTTCCCCCCTGCTCCACCATGCACTCACTCATGATGCTGCTGCACTTGCTGAAACTCCCCACCCCCCTCCCCCCCTCTCTCCCTCGGTCGGCCGCCCTCCACCCATGTCATTCCCCTCCTCTCCCATCGTCCCATCCTCACCATTCTCTCCCAACACCCTTCCCACAACCTCCCCCTCCCCCCACCCTCCCTTCACCCTCCCCCCACCCTCGTTCCATCCCTCGCTAGGTGGCCTGTCTAGAGGAGCTGGAGCGCACCCCCCATGCTAGAGGACGTAGGGGACCCTAGAGGAGCTAGAGAAGCTGTCTATGTCTCCCTGCTGTCTATGTCTCCCTGCTGTCTATGTCTCCCTGCTGTCTATGTCTCCCTGCTGTCTATGTCTCCCTGCTGTCTATGTCTCCCTGCTGTCTATGTCTCCCTGCTGTCTATGTCTCCCTGCTGTCTATGTCTCCCTGCTGTCTATGTCTCCCTGCTGTCTATGTCTCCCTGCTGTCTATGTCTCCCTGCTGTCTATGTCTCCCTGCTGTCTATGTCTCCCTGCTGTCTATGTCTCCCTGCTGTCTATGTCTCCCTGCTGTCTATGTCTCCCTGCTGTCTATGTCTCCCTGCTGTCTATGTCTCCCTGCTGTCTATGTCTCCCTGCTGTCTATGTCTCCCTGCTGTCTATGTCTCCCTGCTGTCTATGTCTCCCTGCTGTCTATGTCTCCCTGCTGTCTATGTCTCCCTGCTGTCTATGTCTCCCTGCTGTCTATGTCTCCCTGCTGTCTATGTCTCCCTGCTGTCTATGTCTCCCTGCTGTCTATGTCTCCCTGCTGTCTATGTCTCCCTGCTGTCTATGTCTCCCTGCTGTCTATGTCTCCCTGCTGTCTATGTCTCCCTGCTGTCTATGTCTCCCTGCTGTCTATGTCTCCCTGCTGTCTATGTCTCCCTGCTGTCTATGTCTCCCTGCTGTCTATGTCTCCCTGCTGTCTATGTCTCCCTGCTGTCTATGTCTCTGTCTATGTCTCCCTGCTGTCTATGTCTCCCTGCTGTCTATGTCTCCCTGCTGTCTATGTCTCCCTGCTGTCTATGTCTCCCTGCTGTCTATGTCTCCCTGCTGTCTATGTCTCCCTGCTGTCTATGTCTCCCTGCTGTCTATGTCTCCCTGCTGTCTATGTCTCCCTGCTGTCTATGTCTCCCTGCTGTCTATGTCTCCCTGCTGTCTATGTCTCCCTGCTGTCTATGTCTCCCTGCTGTCTATGTCTCCCTGCTGTCTATGTCTCCCTGCTGTCTATGTCTCCCTGCTGTCTATGTCTCCCTGCTGTCTATGTCTCCCTGCTGTCTATGTCTCCCTGCTGTCTATGTCTCCCTGCTGTCTATGTCTCCCTGCTGTCTATGTCTCCCTGCTGTCTATGTCTCCCTGCTGTCTATGTCTCCCTGCTGTCTATGTCTCCCTGCTGTCTATGTCTCCCTGCTGTCTATGTCTCCCTGCTGTCTATGTCTCCCTGCTGTCTATGTCTCCCTGCTGTCTATGTCTCCCTGCTGTCTATGTCTCCCTGCTGTCTATGTCTCCCTGCTGTCTATGTCTCCCTGCTGTCTATGTCTCCCTGCTGTCTATGTCTCCCTGCTGTCTATGTCTCCCTGCTGTCTATGTCTCCCTGCTGTCTATGTCTCCCTGCTGTCTATGTCTCCCTGCTGTCTATGTCTCCCTGCTGTCTATGTCTCCCTGCTGTCTATGTCTCCCTGCTGTCTATGTCTCCCTGCTGTCTATGTCTCCCTGCTGTCTATGTCTCCCTGCTGTCTATGTCTCCCTGCTGTCTATGTCTCCCTGCTGTCTATGTCTCCCTGCTGTCTATGTCTCCCTGCTGTCTATGTCTCCCTGCTGTCTATGTCTCCCTGCTGTCTATGTCTCCCTGCTGTCTATGTCTCCCTGCTGTCTATGTCTCCCTGCTGTCTATGTCTCCCTGCTGTCTATGTCTCCCTGCTGTCTATGTCTCCCTGCTGTCTATGTCTCCCTGCTGTCTATGTCTCCCTGCTGTCTATGTCTCCCTGCTGTCTATGTCTCCCTGCTGTCTATGTCTCCCTGCTGTCTATGTCTCCCTGCTGTCTATGTCTCCCTGCTGTCTATGTCTCCCTGCTGTCTATGTCTCCCTGCTGTCTATGTCTCCCTGCTGTCTATGTCTCCCTGCTGTCTATGTCTCCCTGCTGTCTATGTCTCCCTGCTGTCTATGTCTCCCTGCTGTCTATGTCTCCCTGCTGTCCCGCCATGCCGTCCGCCTTCTCTCCCTTCTTCTCACCCTCACCATTATCTTAACCCACCCTCACCCCACCCCTGCCCCACCCTCGCACACTCATCCCCCCAGGCGGCTTACCTAGAGGAGCTGGAGCGCACCGTTGCCCTGCTGGCGTTTGAGGACCCCGCCACGTCAGCACCTGCCACGCTGGCAGAGCTGCTGGACGTGAGTCAGCGTGACAAGGCGGCCGCTGAGCTCAATGCCGCCATCCTGGCGAGCCAGGGCCACGAGAAAGGTAAGGGGTGAAGAGGGGTGGTGAGAGGGAGAAGAGGGGTGGTGAGAGGGAGAAGAGGGGTAGTGAGAGGGAGAAGAGGGGTGGTGAGAGGGAGAAGAGGGGTGGTGAGAGGGAGAAGAGGGGTGGTGAGAGGGAGAAGAGGGGTGGTGAGAGGGAGAAGGTGAGGATGGCCACGAGAACGGTGCACCAGGAGGGACAGCGAAGAGGGAAGGATCCAGGGCTACGAGAAAGGTGCACACGGGATGGGGCTGAGGTAGGGGGAAGGGGAAGAGGTTGGGGTTGGGGGAGAGAAAGGTGAGTGCGGGGAAATGTGAGAGGGGTGAGGAAGGTGAGGGGCAGAAGAAATATGTGAGGAGAGGTGTGAGAACGTGAGAAGAGGTGGGTTAAGGTAAAGAGAGGTTAGGAGAGGTGAGGAGGGAAGAGGAGAGGTGAGGATAGGTGAGGAGAGGTGATAACGTGGACAGCAAGGTATGGGGAGAACCGGTGGTGAGAGGTGAGTAGAAAGATGGAGAAATGCTAATGGAGCGGAGGGGCTAGTAGCCCAAGCAAGGCCAGGTTGAGCCCTTAAAGGGGTCAGCAATGCCTTTGAAGGGTCACAGAATGGGATGGTGTTCTGCTCTCCGCTCAGGCTATCAACTGCACTCTACCTTTTTTCCCCCGCTTCCCCCCACTCCCCTCTTTTCGCTCTTTCCTTCCCCCTCTTCCCCTCCTTCCCCTTCCCCTCCTTTCCCCCTTCACTTGTTTTCCCCTTACCCTCCACCCCCCCTCTCATCACCCCCATCGCCTCTCACTGCCGCAGATCCGAAGCTACCGAGTGTGCTGAGGATGCTGCTATGGCTGCAGGGGCAGCTGGACGGCAGAGTGGCGTACCCCAAAGTCACCGACCTCACCACAGCGCTCCTGCACGACCCGCCCTCGCTCTAATCTCGCCTCCCCTGTGCTCTTTCCTCAGTGCACAGCGCTGCCCGACCTGATGTGCTTGCTGTAAATAGTCGTGATTTGTCAGTAGGGCATGATGTAGTGTAGGGGGTCTCCCTCCCTCTATCCAGATAAAGAGCAAGTTACAACACATTGGCTTGCCGGCGGACCATCACCACATCATGATTGTATCTGATTATATCAGGTCGAACCATCTGCACCCCATATGGGTGACTGCTCACGTATGGTATCAAACGGTATTGTCAGTCACGTCACATCACATCACCCCTTTGTCAGAATCCCAGCCACTAACCACTGGGATAAAATGGCTTATTTGTGTAGCGGGTGAGTGCGCCCATAACCTCCCAGGCCAACGTGCCTGTTGTTGGGCTGAAAAGCCCTAGGATCTTTGTAGAGCTTAAGGTCTGAGTAGGATTGTAATAGCGGAAGCGTTGAAAATAAAGAGTGATTGAACCACCTTGCGCTAGTGTGTGAGGGCAAAGTAAGTTGAATTTAACAAGCAGATACAAGGTTTATATAAGAGTACAAGGAATACGAATAGATAGATTTAAACCGTTTTACTGTTGCGATTCGATACAGTGCGACTCGGGCAACTGCCCAATGTCGAGTCAGTTGTGTGTCCTTGCTGTCGCGCTGTAATTGTCGAGTCAAAGGTCGCTGACCTTTGACTTTCCTGTAACCTCCAGGCGGTTACCCTAACCTCCGAGGGTTGACTCGCGATGCTTCGATTCGGACTGCTTCGCTAGTGTCCTGAGTTTCGACACGACGGAGGCGTTTTAAGACTTATTGTTCCCAACACTCCCCTTCGCTTCTGGAGTGTCGCTGATGGTGACGTGGCCTTGTCCAGTCAGCAGCATGCAGTACTCGAACTTCTGTTTTCCGAGTTTCTTGGTCAAATAATCGGCTGCCATCTCGGACGTGGGACAGTAGGATAATTCGAGTTTCCCTTTCTCGATCTCGTCCTTTACGAAGAAGTATCGCAGAGCGATATGCTTCGTTCTGTTCGCGAATCCGCTTTTGTTGGCGATGCGAATTGCAGATTGGTTGTCGCAGAACAGGGTGAAGTTGGGTAACTCGGCTAACTTTGCTTCTTCCAGCAGCTCGCGAAGGTAGAGTCCTTCCTTGGTGGCTGAGCAGAGGGCGATATATTCTGCTTCGGCTGAAGAGAGAGCGATTAGTTCCTGCTTGCTCGACTGCCAGGAGATAGGTCCGTGTGAAAGAAGTGAACAGGAATGAGAATGACTAAGGAAAGGTTGGGTACAAATACAACCCTAGAAACCCTGTACCCCATATGTGCTACCCCACTATAGCCTACAGAAACTATGTCATATAAATCTGACACACCCCCATAGGCAAAGTGGGGGAGAACAAGGGGTCACAAGACCAGTCAAGCAAAGCAAAGCAAGCTCAGGGTGGATCACAAAGTCACCACACAGTCCGAGCACAAGAGGAGGGCCAGAGGCCAGTTCACATGCAGGAGTACAGACATATATATATAAAACTAGACAAGCAAGAGCAGGTATATAAATATATATATGTCACAGTACAAGTGAAGTCAAGAGGAGAGCAAGTGAGGCAAGACAGGCACAAGACCCAGCTGGGTGCAAAAGCGCTGATGGTCACAAGGCGCGAGTGCCTTGGTGAACACATCAGCAGTGTTGGCCTCAGAGGCCACGTACGCAAGTCGCAACTGTCCACGCTGCTGCAGCTCACGAGCAAGGAAGTAGCGGAGAGCAATGTGCTTCGTTCTGTGCTCCAAGCGCTGCTCTCGACACAAGGCCAGCATGGCCTTGTTGTCTACGTACAGCACTGGAGGAGAACGAGGCGGCTCTCCAAGGTCAGTCAGCAGGTAGGTGAGCCAGCGAAGCTCCTGTGCAGCCATGGCCCCGGCGTAGATCTCAGCCTCACAACTGGAGCCGAGAACCGAAGACGAGCGAGTAGACCGCCACGAGACAGAGCCGGAACCAAGGCTGAAGGTGTAACCCTGTGACGACCGCTGCGTAGCCTGGTCGTCAGCCCAAGAAGCGTCCGCGTGGCCGGTAAGGACCACTGGACTCCGCCCTCCAAGCACTAGCCCCATCCCCGAAGTACTGCACAGGTAGCGCAATACCCTCTTCGCTGCAGCCATGTGCTCTGGTCTGTGTCTCCCAGGAGCAACATAGCGCGCAAGAATGCTCAGAGGGTACGCAAGGTCAGGTCGTGTGCAGGTCATCAGGTACATGAGGCAGCCAACAAGCTCTGCATACGGACCACTCGACTCTACGGACTCATCCGAAGGCAGAGCTGAGAGTGAGTGGCGAGTAGGCAGAGGAGTGGCCTGAGGCGAGGAGTACGTGAAGCCGAAGCGCTAAAGGACCTGCTGCACCATGTGTGACTGAGTCAAGGTAATGGTGCGGCGTGCTCTGTCCCGAGTGATCTGCAAGCCAAGGTAGCTGCGCAGTTCACCCAGGTCTGTGCACGTGTGTCTCTTCAGTAGCTCGGACTTCACGTAGGCGAGTCCAGCAGTGTCCGCTGTGGCAAAGACCAAGTCGTCGACGTACACGAGGATGTAGAACGGCGGCAGGGAAGTGTCGGTGCGAAGAAACAGCGACGGGTCAGCAGTAGAAGGAGCAAACCCAAGAGCCGCAAGCGTAGTCCTCAGTGTGTCGTGCCACTCACGCGGTGCCTGGCGGAGACCGTAGACTGGCCGTCGGAGGCTCCACTGGGTGCCAGGAGGGAAAGTCCCAGTGAAGCCAGGTGGACGGCGAAGCCAGATCTCCTCGTGCAGGCTACCCTGCAAGAACGCAGTGCTGAAGTCGAGAGAGTGAAGCTCGTAGTCGCGCTGAGCGGCTATGTGCAGCAGCACCCGAAGAGTAGTCATCTTCGGGGTGGGAGAGAAGGTCTGAAAGTAGTCAACTCCCTACCGCTGACTGAAGCCACGAGCAACGTACCGTGCCTTGAAGACAGGTGGAGAGCCCGGCGGCCGCTTCACCCTGAAGATCCACATGCCACTGACGATGTTCGCCCCAGGAGGGGGAACCGCGTCAACGTAGGTGCCTGTGGACTTCCAGGAAGCCATCTCTGCATCCATAGCTGCCTGCCACTAAGAGGAGTAGGGACCCTCTACGGCCTCCGCGTAAGAACGCGGAGTCGGGATGTCTAGTGCATCCGGGTCTCCCTCAGGGGCAAGCAGTACAGACGCGAGATGAGGTGAAGCAGCCGCTAGACACTGTAACTCCTCCTGCCTGTCCTCTAGGACGTCCGTGCCAAGAGCACACTCACCCCCGACGGACGGAGGACAGATAGACGCAGACTCAGCAACAAGACTAGCAGCGTAGTCGAGACGACAGCGAGCAGCAAAGTCGACGAGCTCAGCGACTAGAGCAGACGCAGCAGTGGACTCAAAGGAGGGGTCAGTGACGACAGTAGCAAGCAGACGCGTGACAGTAGGACTGGCAGCACGAAGAGAGTCCGACTCAGGGTCGGCAAGTGCAGGAAGAGAGGACTCAGGAGGAGAAGGCAAAGGGGCACGCAGATGAGTAGTGGACGGACGCAAAGACATCCGGTGCGTGCCAGGGACAGGAGGAGGACGCTGACGCGAACTGCGACCAATAGCGCGAGCAGCACGAACAGGCGACGCGGGACGAGACGCATGCTCACGACGCTCAGCAAGACCTCCAGTAGGACCAGTGTATGGAGAGGGAGCAGGCAGTGGAGAGGAAGGCTCCAGCAGGGACTGCGACTGGACAGGCGGTGGACCCTCTACTGGAGGAGAAAGACCAAGAACCTGCTGCAGGAGCGGAACGAAGTACGGCCGAGGCCGCGCCGCAGCTCCAGACTCAGCAGGGACAGCACCAGCACCCTCCACACCTCCAGTGGCAGGACCAACAGCAGTAGGCTCAGCACCAACGCCCTCAGCAGCTCCAGCTCCAGGAGGACCCTCAGGTCCAGCAGCTCCAGGACCGGCAGCACCCGCACCCACGACGGTCGAAGAAGCTCCAGCTCCAGCTCCAGCAGCACCTCCAGACTCAGCAGCACGCCTCCAGCGGCGAGCGAACCACTCGCGCAGCTCCTGTGGAGAGAGGGACTCCCGGCGAGACGCAGCAGCAGGAGAAACCCCAGGCTCAGCAGCTCCAGATGCAGCACCCCCAGGCTCAGCAGCTCCCAGCACAGCACCCCCAGACCCAGCACCTCCAGGCACAGCACCCCCCGGCTCAGCACCCCCAGGCTCCGCACCCTCCGCAGTAGCACCCTCAGGCCCAGCACCCCCAGCAGTAGCACCCCCAGGCTCAGCACCCTCGCGCACAGCACCCCCAGAGTCAGCACCCCCAGGCTCAGCACCCGCAGCAGCACCAGAGTCACCAGTAACCTCGACTGGGTCAACGGCGTCTACCTGGGACACACCTGAGGGGGCAGGAACCTGAGGGGGGAGGGGGTCTACCGGGGGGGGAACCGGCACAAGGAAGTCCGGGGGAGGTGGGAGGGAAGGAGTGCGGTAGGGGAAGAGACGGTAGAAGGGGACTGACTCGTCGAACGTGACGTCCTGGGAGGACAGAACACGACGAGAGGAGGGGTGGTAAAACTGCCACCCTGGGGCGTCAGTGGGGAAGCCAAGGAAGACACAGGGAGCAGCACGAGGGGACAGCTTGTCCGCAGACAAGTCGCGGACAAACGCCCGAGATCCCCAGACACAGAACACAGACGCATCGCCAACCTTCCCCGTCCACAGTAAGGCTGGGGACATCGCAGGCCGAGAGACCCGGGGGTGAAGGTTGAGCTGATGCGCCGCATACCTCACCGCAAACGGCCACAGAAAATGGGGGGCAGCCGCATGCATCATGGACGTACGAGCGACATCCATGACCATGCCAATGCGGCGCTCAGCAATCCCATTTTCGTGTGGTGAGTGCGGAAGCGTGAAGGTCTGGCGGATCCCCCGTGCACGACAGTAGTCCCGCAGAAGGCGAGAAGAGAACTCTCCGCCTCTGTCCGAGTGCAGACGCAGA